CTAATATTACATCAACATATTACCGCAAAGAAATGTATGTCTCATTTACTTGTTTGTTGATCAAGAAAGAAAACAAAACATTTCTATCACAACAATAAACAAACACTATTTGATAAATTACTTTCTTTTTATCATGAATTAGCTTATTACAATCAAGTTTTTTCGAGATGTCTATCGCTTTTCAAGACCTGAAAAGTCAAATCAGCATGTAAAGCTTTTCTTTTTCATCATAATCATCATTTGCTGCCTAATTTCAGCGCTTACTAGATGCATTACTTGTTTTTCGATACTATCAGGTTTAGATATTTTGTTTTCGACTCTTTTATGCAACACCAAAAATGTCGCTTTGTACAAATGTTTTGAAACTGAACTATTGAGAAGTATTTATTACAAAAGAACATTCTAGTAAAAGGAGACTTTTCTATATCTGTCTTGTAGCATTTGTTTGCAATAAAGAGAAAGATGAGAACTGATAAGAGAATAGAGATAAAAGATTCTGATTTAATTGAAAAAAAGCCAACTTTTGCTTCATCTCAAATCGTGTGAGCACTTATGTAAATTCTGATATAAATTGATTCTTTATTCCGATTTGCCGTACATTTGAAAATAGTGTTAGCATACTTTTACAGCAAATAATAGTTGCAAAAATTGGATATGAATCAAGAAAAAAACAACATATTCACGAATCTTTGAAAGTACAGAATCTGCCATTTCCTTCTTGACACAATCTTTCTATAAATCATCATCAACAGTTACTTACTTCAGTAACATCAGTCCAATGTATCACGACATGGGAGCATATACAAAAGCATTTTTCTTTCACGAAACAATGCTTGAAATTCAACAAAATAAGGCTGTCTCTAAATTATTCTAACATAGATACATCCTATAACAATACCAGTAGGATGTATTGCTCAATCAGAAAGTATTATAAAACAAGATTTTATTATTTACACGCTCAGATTATTTTTGCAATTTTTACTTGTTTCGGATTATCTACAGAGTCTATGTTGTTAATGAAGAATGAAATGAGAAAAAAAAGAAAAACAAGAAGGTTGCATTATATTTATTGTAAAAGAAATAGCCAAACTGAAACCAATTAAATTATTGATTTTTTTCAAGGGATGTTGAGTCTTATCTTATAGTATTGATCAATGACCGTTTGAAAGCATTTAATTAGTCGAAAGTTTGACCATTTAAACCAAAAAAAGCGGAAAAAACAGACAGTGAAAATATGTAAGATTTTTCAATAGAAAAATATGCACCTCATGAATTTTAACGACAATTTGTTCGTATTTGGTTTTAGACAAGAAGTACTTTTGAAAAATTTCCGACAAGATATTAATGCTCGTCAAACAATACAGCCCGTTTAATGGTAGTGCTGAACACAATAGACGAACTTTTGCAATTTTGACTTATTTATTTATATTTATCACAATCAATGAGAAAATTATTTCTCATAGTCATACACATCTAATTAATAGACAAAAGTTATTTTTCATATTTATTTGTAGATCTGCAATGTCAGCATCTAATATCGACGCGTAAAGTCAATGGACTTAGATGTTTTTCGAATAGCTTTCAATAAGAACAAGATAGAGATCTGAAATTTTCTGCATTTGACAAAAAGACAGAGATAATAATTCAACTACTTCAATAATCATTGATCAAACAATTGAACAAACAAGTGATTTTCTTTGTTCACATGTTGACAATGAGATTTCAAAAACATGTTCGCTTTCATTTTGACTTATATTACTACTGATTCATAGAAAAGGTAATTTTCTTTTGATTTATGCAAAGCCGATGTTTCTATTGGAAAAGTTCGCTTACACGCTTTAGAAGTTTAGAAGAAAACTTTTGTCTATTAAATAGTCAGCTCTTATTTTCTGTCTTCTATTCGGTTTTATAGGGCTACAATAGATCATTATAAACAAGTAAGAATAAAATTTTCTAGTTATCGATTGAATTTTAAATCGAACTTTTCGCTGATCACCTGTCATATATAACGTACCTAAAAATTTCGGAAGCCTAGTGCAAGCAAATCTACTTCTCATCAGTGATGTTGTACTTTTCAGCCTTCGATTATTATTTTAAACACAATATTGTTACACAGCTTTGTATTAGAAACTATACTCTTTCTAATTAGAAAACTATTGAATCTCTACGATAAGTTTTCGTGATGCTATATTACAAAAAATAATTTCAAAACTTTTGTACCATTCGTTATTTCTCATTCTCATATACTTCAAAGATTTATATATTCAAAAACAAAGACTAAGCGATACTGAATCATAAATCATTTTATGAGAGAAAAATATTTTAACTATTGCTTAAACATTCGTAAAAAAAGGCATGCAGCAACTTAAGTTCGTATCGTTAAAATTTTTTGTATAGCTGCAAGGTGAAACATTCTGTAAATTGTATGATTTGTTTTCTTCTTTGCACTATTGATAGCTGAAAATGATCTGATACGAGGAGAAGATAATAAACACATGAGAAAATATAAGATATATTGTTATTCTGATGCTTTTTATTAAGTACAACAACTACAACTTTTTATTATGGCTATTGCAGTATGAATAGCGTCGTTACAGTAAAGAAAAATCACATCTGAAAATAGAATGATATAACCAATAATTAGAAGATAAATTTATGAATTTTGCTTTTCATTTAAACCATATACATTTGAAATGAATGGAAAGCAATCAGGAACACATATGACATTGAATTTTTAATAATTATCGATATCTATCTAATAGAGTTTCGAAACAAGCGATAATCGGTTGATACGAATCCAATAAAAAAGATAAAATTATCGATTGTCAACATAGTACAATAAAATTCAGTGTATTATAAGTAAGAATTATGATGATTAAATAGACAAATATAGAGACGATTACTGACAAAGAAGATGCATGGACCGAAATGTAGCCATAATTCGGCAATGTCATTCTATTGCATCACAATTGCATTTGTAGTCATCGTTTGTTATTAAATTGAAGTTTGTTGTGAAAAATCTGTTTTGTAGTATAATATATGATATAACAATGAAGCAGTAGAAAATAAATGACATTCATTATGAATTGATAATGATAAGATTGAATATTTCATCAGCAATTGAATGGTTGGACCTAATGTTGGACCGTTGAATGTATCAAAATTTGAATACTCTATATGCAGTTTAGACTTAAACATGATTAACTTTTTGAATACTAGTGTAGTTTATAAAGTACGAGTTTTTCAAGTTTCTTCATCTATGAATAAGTTAGCAGCGCAAAAGACATCGAGATTTGACGAGGAAGTTTTGCTTGCTAATCTTGAGTATATTATTCATTTTACTTGAAAGTATATATGAAATTAAAAAGACATAAAAATAAATCACATGATTTTCGGTTTGAGTCATTTTGAAGGCTTTCCTTAGAATATTTTACTTATGGTTATTTTTCTCTTTAACTTTTAGAATTATATTTTTATATGATTGTTACAGACATTAATCACAGAAGATATGATCTAACAGAGTACGATTTGGGTTGCACATTGGATCGAATCATAGTGAGTTGATTGATGCTGAGCTTCACATAAGACAAACAGCAATCCTGAATGAGATTATAGTTTTATTCTTTTCAACTTTGGGAGAGGTGCTATGAAACTATTCAACAAGACCTTGAATTCTTGGAAAAACTATCTTTGATGTCGTGTGTGTTCTGGTCATGCTCAGATAGAGTCTCGAAAAATTGACTTATGTCGGACACTGTAGTATAGTGGATGATTTTTTGTTTTCAATAGTGGATGTTCATTTTTAATAAGCTTTTCGAACCATCCAATATATAATTCTCCCATTATGTATGATTAGTCTAAAGATATTTTCGAGGATCAAATACAATTTTGAAATGAAAATCATGTTTCAAGGCTAAGATATGCATGCTTTTAACAGAGATCTCAAATTCTAGGAGTATTTCTCAATTGTAAAAATGTTGTATCTCAATAATAATCAAGAATTAACGTTTCAAATTTGTAATGAAGATAAAGAAGAATCATAACTACATTTCACTAAAAACAAAAGCTTTTCATCACTCATAGATCAACAGTTATCAGCATCTTATGGAGAATAAATTGAATTTTTTTATGTCAAGAATTCTTCACAGGCAGAGAGTAACACTTGCTGGAGTAATTAGTATTCGTTGAAAATAAGTATCACACAAATTTAATAGACATTAGCTATCATGGTTGAACAATGTTACTAGACAAGCTAATTAAAAAGTCTAAATGAAAATTATATAAATTTTGTCACATACATTTATTCACAAGCTTCAATAACAAGGTTGCTATGTTCATTATCCTGAATCAGTAGTATATTATTATTAACTTACAACTTCTTCTGTAAGCTTGATGATCAGTACAAGTATTCATAAAAAATTCTATGTAAAATTTCTGTCAAATAAGACGTTCAAGTTCAAGGATAATAAATATTTCTTTTGAATATAAAATAGAAAAAATAATTTTGTATATTGATCTCTCACCTACTAAATATACAGTATGTTTTTTTCTTCAATTAACAAAAAAATTTTGCTAACAAACATATTATTGGTAACATAATTTCAAAGGATTTGTTAAATTAAAGTAATTTATATTTTCAATTGTTATCATAAGTAAATGACATTTCTGCCAAATAAATAGCGTCTTCAAAGAGATCATGCTCTTTTTGCTATCTATATTTCTCTTCATTTTCTTTTTCTTTTTCTTTTTATAATAGTTAATCATAATAATCTTAAGATTACACTTATTTTTCTTTTTGTAAGTGCCATTCAAATATATTATGTAGGTGATTCGCTTATGAATCATTTTAAGATCAATTACGATTCTATCCTTGAGAAATGTACCGAATTATCATATTCTTGATCTTTGTTTTTCTTACGTAAATATTCATTTTTAAACAAAACACGTCATCAATTGGTAATAGTGGTACAAGATATAGTTAGAATAGTCTACATTAAAAGATGGATTCAAATAAGGTGGTTCTACCGGAGGTTAGTAATCAATTAGCTCAACAGCTAAAGTTCATAAATTGAATATTTTTATGGTATCTAGCGTAAACAATGGACTAATCCTATTGAGTTCTTTTTAACATTGGTAGCATTTGGTCAGTATGCAAGTGTTAATATTATAGAAATTGAATTGATTTTTAAATATTTATTGTAGCTGTCGGCTTAGGAAATGTTTGGCGTTTTCCATATCTTTGTTTTAAAAATGGAGGAGGTAAAACAAATTCAATAATTTCTCCTTGTTTATTTCAATATTACAGGTGCATTTCTTATACCATATACATTAATGCTTATTTTTATTGGTGCACCTGTGTTCTATCTTGAATTAACGTTAGGACAATTCACTAGTACTGGTCCATTAGCCGTTTGGAACGTCAATCCATTATTACGAGGTTTGCTTTATACTATTACAAAGAAATTTTAGCACAATCTTTGGAAGATTAACATGTGTACCATGATTGATCTACCTATGTTATAAATCAAGAGATTCTGTAACATATGCTTCAGTGTGAGACTTTGAATACACTGATATGTGAGTGATGAAAGACGTTATGTATAATATGGTACAGTGAACTTTGAAAGGAAAGGGAAGACATGTATCTTAAATTTTCATAATAATTTCACAAAGATTTTAACTTCGGAACTAATGAGGGAACCTCTTCAACTTTCCCTTTTCGATTTCAATCATTTTTTTTCGTATAGATAATACATAGTGTTTTTAAAAATTCATAAGAGGTTTTGGTTTCCTATTGAGATTTGATGAAGCTATCAAAGTTTTAATCTCTGTTTCTTAGGAGCTTCAAGATTTTAGAACATTCGTATTTTAGAATTTCGATTATTTCAACTAGACTAGCTTTCTTCGAAAAATTTAGAGGTTTTTAAAAAAAGTCTTTCTGAATTTCAAGACTTTTAAGATATAAACCCTTTTCCATGTATAATGTATTCAACATGTATTTTTTTGAATGTTGGACATTTCGAGGAGACTTTTAAAAAAATTCTGAGTTTTTCATGAAAGCTTGTCTAATTGAGTCTGTTATATGCGCAAAGCTTCAAATCAAAATTCGAAGAAACGTATGTTAAAAAAATCTAGAGCTTCTAGAAAATAGACATTAAAATTCGATAGCTTAGTAAAATATCAGTAGTGACCAAAATACTTGTAGAGTTTTTGTTAGAAAACTATATAAATGAACAAGAGCATTGCGCTGATGTCTGTCACATAGTTTGATGTTAAATGATAATAAAAAATATGCGACGAGTAACGAAAGAATATTACAGTAGATTTATTTCGCATTGATATACTTTCCAATACAATTTATTGTGTCAGCTAATCTTTTATGTTTATTATAGGTATTGGTTATGCATCAATGGCTACAAATTGTTTTTGGGGTCTATATTATATGGTACTCATTGCTTATTGTTTTTATTATCTAATAGCATCGTTTCAACTTATTGTACCATGGTCAACATGTGATAATTGGTGGAATACACTATTATGTACTGATAAAAGAATGTTAGCTAATTTAAGTCGAATTGATTTGCTTTCGATGAAAAGTATTGTTTATCTTTATTTTTGAGTCGATAAAATATGTATTTCTAGATATGACAAGTTCGCCTAGTGAAGAATATTTTTAGTAAGATTTTTTTAAAGATATTTAGGTTGATCAAATTTATTTTTGTTATCTTAGTCGTCGAGTACTACAAATAAGTAGTGGAGTCGAAAATACAAATGGTATCGTTATTGAATTAGTTGTTGCTTTAGCAGTTGCTTGGCTAATTTGTTTTTTGGCATTATCAAAAGGTGTTCAATCATTGGGCAAAGTAAAAATTATTATTTATTTGATAGGCTATAAAAGTAATCGATTTTGTAATTTCATATAGGTTGCATATTTTACTGCTTTATTTCCTTATGTAATGTTAACTGTTTTAATTATTCGTGGAGCAACATTGAGTGGTGCTATTGAAGGTATTAAATTCTATATGGGAACAGTTAATTTCAGTGTATTAAAAAATCCATCTGTAAGTTGATTTGAATATTCAATAAAAAAAAACATATTGTGTTGAATTCATTCTTTCTCGTTTTTAATACATAATAGGTATGGAAAGATGCATGTACACAAGTATTTTATGCATTAAGTTGTTGTAGTGGTGGTCTTATTGCTATGGCGTCATTTAATGATTTTAATAATAATATCTATCGGTATGAGATATGTTTAAAATTATAGAATGGTGATCGTTTTGGTTTTTGTTTGTTTGTTTTGGTATATTTAGTGATACTTTGGCTATTTGTCTTGTTACATGGTTTACAAGTATTTTTGGTGGATTTGCAATTTTTACTGTTTTAGGTAAGAAATTATTCTTAACTCAATGAATTTATTTATCTGCTTAAAGGTCATATGGCTTCAAAAATGGGTATGAGTGTTGCTGATGTAGCTAAAGGAGGTCATTAAATATATGTTTGATTTTTTATTATTTGTAATTGGCGTTTTTTTGTCTAAAGGACCTGGTCTAGCCTTTGTTGTCTTTCCGGAAGGTCTATCAATGATGCCATTTGCACCTCTATGGTGTGTTCTATTCTTTTTAATGATGTGTACACTTGGTTTTGGTTCAGAAGTTAATTAATTAAAATTTCTTTTTTCTCGTTTTTTAAATTCATGAATTTTTCTTTATTTAGTTTTCTATTATGGAAACAATAATGGCTAGCATTATTGATGAATATAAAATATATTTAAATACACCGAAGAAAATTGTTATATTTCGATTTTGTGTATCATTAGTTTTTTTTTTGCTTGGCTTGTTCATGGTAACTCGAGTATGTTTATTATTGAAAAATTGACAACAACATCGACATTTTGATTAATTAGGGTGGTCTGTATGTTTTGAATATAATTGATCAATCTCTCGGTGGTTTTCCTTGGTTAATTATCGGTGTGATTGAATTATTTTGTATTGCATGGATTTATGGTCATAGAAAAAAAAAAACAATTTAATGAGAAATCATTCTCGAATAATTTTTTTTTCTTTAGGTATAGATAATTTTTGTGATGATATTGCATTAATGTTAGGTAAAGAACGACGTCCAAGTAAATTCTGGCAAATATGTTGGAAATATATATCACCAATTATTCTTCTTGTAATTATATTTATTCTTTATTCATCCATGAAATTTATTTACCATATGTCTTAGTCTACAATCATATTTTCTTCTCTATTCTACCAAGATATAACACTAGATGATTATACATATCCATCATGGGCACTTGCGCTCGGTTGGATAGTAGTAATCCTATGTCTTGGTTGGCTTCCATTTATCTTTTTTATTGAAATTTGTCATCGTGGAACATGGAATGTACGTTCGAAATATTTTTATAGTTCATTGATTTCTTTTATTTTTTGTTCACTAATAGATCATTAAAGAAGCTCGTTTACCTCATGTTCAATGGGGACCAGCAAAAGATGAACATCGTCAATTATCAACTCGTTACGCACGAAATATGAAAATGAAAACACTTAGTATGCAAACCTTATCGACCATTGATAGTTCTACCTTTGATTCAGATGCGATAGTCGATGCAAACTTTTCTGTCAAGCAAATGGCGGATACACCAATTACATCTTTTTAAAATTATAGAATAGTTATTAATTACTCATTTGAGACATTTTCTTCGTGTGAAATAAAAAAAAAGACATTAAAATAACAAAAATATTTCAAATCGAATTATTGCTAAATAAATAATGTTATTGTCATTTTAACCAAAACAAGCAGCTAGATGGGTTTTGAATTCTGCCCAGCTCGAACAAATACGTTCTATAAAAGTACAAGAATAAACACATTTTTATCGTATTTTAACCAATGAAAAAGTCGTAAGACTACTAATAGTTGCAATTAAGGTGAATAAAAAACAGCGATAATTATGCAAAAATGAAAAAATGCAACACACACATTAACATGAATAAACTTGCTTACTAATAAAAAAAAGAACGACCGGTTGGGTCGTTAAAAATATGAAAGCGTTGGCGGCTGGTTAATATTCACATTCACATTCACATTCACATTCACCTTATTGAAGTCTGACTACCAAGAGTATGTTAGGCCTTTTAAGCGTTGGTTTTGCATGAATAAAACAAAGTTGAAGAGAAGAAGAAAAGGTTCACAATCAAAAGAGAATAAAAAGAATTGATATAAATGCATGATATTGGTCAAGTTCGTACATGTTGATATTAAAATAACAATATAGCTGAAACATTATCCGCATGCAGCTCGATCAGAATTCATAACATCATCATATGAATTACAGAAGGTTTTGATACGTTCTAGAAAGATATATATCGGATTTGATTCTTTTTTATTAGGGTTTTTAAATGTAATAAATTGTGCTTTTTTTTAAAACTCATTGTTAGTCCAGCAATAAATTTCAATTTGTTAATAAAGCTTGAATATGGATCTGTGTTTCGCTAAATATAGGCTAACTACGTGATTATGAAAAGCTTTACAAAAAAAAATAAATTAGAGCATTTTTAATCTATTAATAATTGTTATCTTGGTAATACATCAGACAAAATACACGAAAGAAAGCAAATTCAATTCTATAGTTGCACTTGCAATATTTTTTATTCTGCCGCCTGAAGAATAAATCTTCTTTTTATTTGAAATCGTACATTTATACGAACACTAAAGCAGCAAATAATAGATAGCATGAAAAGAATAGAAGAACATTTGTTAGTAACAAGCAGATGAACTATTTTATTTTGAGGAAACAAATCAATACTATTCGTGCGTTAGTTAGCCAGAGAAAAGTTGATCAATGATCAATAGCACGACGACGGCAAAGAGATCCATGCAGGATATCTTGAATACTACAATATGTTGTTCGCTCTAAATAATTAAGTGTGTTAGTAGAAACATGCTTGAGTTAGATAGTATTTAAGTAGTAGTGCATTCAAGCAGTTAAATAATTATAAAAGAAAACAATCGTCTTACTTTTCACTTCTTGTAGCCGATCTGAATTTGGATCATTGATTGCTTTGAGATATTCACGAATCTAATAATGAAAAGCAGCAACAAAACATAATTATTTTCATTAAAATCAGATTTCACTAACCAATTGTTGTTTGTAAAAATTTTGTTTATCGCGTCTTGCAGCTCGTTGTTCCTCATTTGATGTTAATAGAAAATGTCGCAATTTGTTTAGATCATGTATTCGACGCTGATGATATTCTTCATCATCATTAGATATGGCCATATCTACTGTACGAAGTTTATTCATCGGTACTGCTTGTGACAATTCAATTGATAATGCAAGTGCAATAATGAATAAAAAGAAAATAATGTGTTTAGATAGTACACAGAATTTCGGCATTTTTGACGAATAATACGGCATAAGGGATTGAATACAAAATATCTCTACAAAAAAAAAACAACCAGAAATATACATATACAGGTATGTAAGTGAAAAAGAAAATAGTCGTGAGCAATGAAAAATCTGATAATGTCTTTTCATACAGGTAGCGTGGGATTGCCATTTTTCTGCATTTATATACCTGCTTATTCAGCCGTTTTCGGGAGGAAAAACTAAATGAAAGAGGAAGAAAAACTGCGTCAGAAAAAAATAAACATACATACTTATATTTCTTGTTCGTTGGCGTAAATACAAATCATTCCCATTGACATGTCAAACATATAAAACATAGTTGATAATCAACCACCTACTTTATATTTGCTTTTTTTTCTTTTTTTCTAAGGTTTATTACCTATACAGTGATCAATTAAAGACTTTTAATTATCATAAATCATCAATCAATCTTTGTCGAAAATAGTTTTATTTGATAGGTGAGAAGATTTTCAGCAAGAAAAGTTCTCATTCGGCACGATTTACACGATAGTGACGTTAGTATTTCGATAAAACTTTAAAATACTTGTCATCTTTTATATGTTGATTAAATGTAGTTTTTCACTCATTGAGACGTACGTGTTATTTCTTTTTTCTCACTATCACATGACGAATATTTTTCACTCATTCATTACTCTTCTATATTGCATCATTGGCGTCTGTATGAAAAAAATTGAGGACAAACATCTTGTAGCTAACCAGACAAAAATTATGATGATAATTTTTCTGTTGCCGATATGCTTCTTAATTTTTGTAGAACTCAAATAATTATTACTTCTCATAATATAAAAGTTATTGGTGAAATGCAGTTGTGCTCATACTACAAGTGTCATTATTATGTATATAAAGAAGTAGAAACCACTTAAGTATTTCAATTTCATCATACATTGCTGACATTTTTATATAAATGATGTAACATGAATAGAAGAAACCAACATAAATGAATAAAAGACATCGAAAGAAGTTAGATCAGCAAGAGAATAGTAGAGAGTGTCTCTATTTTCAACATCATTCCTTTACTTTATATCAATAAAATATCAGAGAATTCCAAAATACTGACAAAATAGTTCATTCGTATATACGTATATACGTATATATATATATGTATAGAAAAATTGATAAAATCTTAAATTTTATTTTAAAAGATATACAGTCATATTCTCTACGACAACTGTATGAGAAAATCATTTTAACTGATTTACATAGAACTTTTAGAAAACTGAACGAAAGAACATATTGAAAGGTTGCTACTATCGATTATGTTGAAATTACGTTAATCCGAAGACTAAATATTTCTCGTCAGATCTTCCAAACAATCCATTCACTTCAGATTAGATATTTTCTGACGTTGTCGTTTTCCTTGGTACAAGGTTTCAATAAGAAGTTATGTAGAATATCGACTTAGATAGACGGAAAACGTCGAAAAAAAGTCAAAAATCTAATAACATCGTATTAAGTTTTTACACAAAAGTCAATGACATCGAATACCACGACCAATATAAATGAACGTATATAATACTCTCAACGACTGTATATGATGTTATCACAATCATTAGGTTTGTTTATTTCATTACTTATTTACCATACAGATGTATTTTGTATTGAAGCATATCTGAATTAGAATTTTATTTTGGATACATTTTCATAAGTTATCAGTAAATCTTATATTTAAAACCAGGTCTAAGAAATAATAGTTATTTTAGACATATTATTACGACTTGTCAATAACATTTGTTGTCAATCATACTTCTATGAATAATCCGACTTGACTTGGTACAAGTCTATTAGAGAAGAAAGAAAAGCAAGAGTCCAAGATGACGATAATCATAAATGATAATAACCTATTCGAAAAATATACTTGAAAAGAAATTCTTCCACAAGTTATAAAAAGAAGTGCATAGCATAAAATTGAAAATTATGTGAAAAAGAAAATAAGAAAGAAAACATTTAAAAGAGGCAAGATAAAAAACTCTAGGCTTTCTGAAGTCATACTTAGAAAACAAAACAAGTGCACTTAGTTATTATACATTCAAGAGAAATTATCTTTCCGTAACAATCGGAAATGACAATGACAGATGTGAAGCACATCTGTATGAAATATAACGTTAAGGAATGCGAATTGCTCTTTTATTTATATAATCTCAGCTCTAATATCATGATTATAGACATAACATCAGAAAACAAATCTATGGAAACATCTTTAATTTCTGAATAACTATCAGAAAAGACAAGATGCAGACAGTTAGCTCTTGTTGAATTGAACCAATTTCTTTTACTGAATATAATCAGAGTCTACAAACGAAATCAGACTGTCAGAAATGGTTCAAAAATTGAATGATAATATCGAATACCCAGTGAAAAATATTTTGAAAAAAAACGGAACAGAATGGTTTCATAAAAATATGAAAACCTTTTTTCTATGTAAAGAATGCGTTCTTTTTGCTAGTGAATGCGTTCATGTTCAAGAAGAAGCACTCTCAGTCTGAAGGAACTCGTTCTTTGCCGTTCCACAATAAGACGGAAAGCTTTCTTTTCTATTGAAAAATTGTTCTCTATTTGAAGGGAAAGCATTCCGAACCATTCTTAAACCAATAGAATCCATCCTAGTTCATTCTCTTTCGGAACGGCACAGATAGCAATCCATCGAAATAAGATCGCTTTCGTTTACGTTTTCTAGAGAAGCATTAAAAGAATGAATTCTTCTAAGTGATGAATACTTTCTTTTGGAATTAAAGCACATTTCTATTCAAAAATCAAAGATCTGAAGCAATGCAGATTGAAACTGATGTGAGAAATGGTGGAACCTTCAGCTAGTTATTCTTTGGGGATGCTACTTCTGATTTAGAAAAAGCATGATTTTAATAACGGTTTGAGTTACAACGATTTGGAGCACGCCATTCGATCGAGCTCGTCGAGTTACCCTGAAAATGGTCTTTTGACGAATTAAAGATTTATCCATTAATGATTAGCCGTGTGATCAAGACAGGTACCTTCTCTCAAGAAGAGAAAGCATTCCAAAAGTGATGGAATGCTTTGTTGATCGTTCCGTTTTTGGAACGACTAAGAACACGTTCCAAAAATGATAGAATGCGTTCTAGACCGTTTCATTTTGGAATGCTTTCCATTTTTTTCAGAACGTTTTCTTTTCTTAAAAAAAGGGCTTTCAATTTTTTGGAACGCATTCTTAACTGTTATTTTTTATAAATATTTTTCACTGGGTAGACTCAAGAATC